TAGGTCATTAGAAGCAGTTAGGCCATATCTTGAATGATTTGCTCCTTAGAAATTTCTTCCACCAGACACACTAAGTTATCACTCTCACTTTCAAAATTTCTCAGAGACCTTGAACAAGGGCACAATGCAACCAGGTTCTTTTTTAAGGCATAACACATGTGACATTTGCTTCAGGTCCCAGTAAGATCCTCATTTCCATCTGAGACCTTCTCAGCTGGATTCATTGTCCCTATTACTATCAGCATTTTAGTCACAACCACTTAAACCAGTCTCCAAGAAGTCCCAAAGTTTCCCTCATCTTCCTGTCTTCTTCTGAGACCTCCAAAATTTTCCACCCTCTGCCTGTTACCCAGTTCCAAATCTGCTTCCATATTTTTAAGTATCTTTATAGCAATGTCTCACTCCTTGGTACCAATTTTCTAATTTCTTACTAATTAGTACCAATACTAATTTCTTACTAATTAGTCCATTCTTGCATTGCTATAAAAAAGTATCGGAGACTGGGTAATTTATAAGAAAAGACATTAAATTGGCTCAGTTCCACAAGCTGTACAGGAAACACAGTGCTGGCATCTGTTTAAGGGAGGTCTCAGGAAGTTTCTAGTCATGTTGGAAGGCAAAGGGGCAGTAGGCATTTCACATTGCAAAAACAGGAGCAAGAGAAAGAGGAGGAAGGTGCTACACGCTTTTAAACAATCGGATCTCACAAGAACTCACTCACAATAGCAAAGACAGAACCAGGGGGACGGTGCTAAGCCATTCATGAGATATCTGCCCCCATGATCCATTCACTTCCCTCCCTCTAGGCCCCACATCCAAATTTGGGGATTAAAATTCAACAAGACATTTATTTGTTGGGGACATATATCCAAACTACATAACTTTGCAAAAGTTCCATCTCCAAATACCAACACATTGGTGGTCAGGGGTTCAACTCAGGAATTTTGGACCTATAGTAGTCAGTCTGTAGTAGCTTGATTACAACTAAACTCCTAGACAAAACAACTCAAGGACTCCTGGAAGGAGAGTGAATAGACAAACAGAAAAATAATGGAAGGTAAACACAGAGATACTCAGGTCATCCACACTATGGATAACCCCAAATGCCAAACTATTGAGTTTAACATTGTTAATTCACTGAACTTGATTAAAGCTGTTTTCCAGAATTCATTTGGTGAGATACTATAGAATGTTTTAAAGAGGAAAAACAACGAAGAGAAATTCAATGTGGGATGACTTGTTCCAATATGAATGTGCCACATATTACCTTAACATTCGACTTACTTTATAGGAAACGCGATTCAAAATGGGCAAATGAGAAGTTAAATGAAAATGGTAATAAGATAATCTTAGAAATCAACTAGGAATACAAGAAACAATCCATAGGGCCTCTTTCTCAAGGAAACTTCTAGAAATATATAACAGCTACAGGGTATGAAAATAACAACTTGTTTGAGGGGTATGAGGAAGGGGCAATAAATTCAACAGCTATTATTCAAAGATGGTTGTAAAAAATACTAAATATTTGCATGAAGTGCAAGCCAACAAACAGTCCCAACTCCAGTTTGCTGACAGCTTTTTTTTTAACTACAGTATTTTCAAAAATGTTATTTTGAGGCATTATTTTAAGAAGTGCGATAATTATAACCCTCTCTCTTCTTTATTATTTTACCTAAGATAGGAGGCAGATCAATTTTAGAATATGACATTTAAGTTGTTGAATAGTTAAGAGAACGGACATAGGGTGTGTGTTAGAGGGCATGGAGACTAAATACTTACAAAAATGTCCCTTTTTAAAAAGAAAAAAGGGGTTATTTTGGGGAAACAGAAAAACTAAGTACTCTACATGACTTACAGTAGTCTCCCCCTTATCTGAGGTTTCTCTTTCCAAGGTTTGAGTTACTTGCAGTCATCCCTAGTGAAAAAATATTAAATGGAAAATCCCAGGAAAGAAAAACATTTCATAAGTTTTAAAGTGTTTTAAAAAACATTTCATAAGTTTTAAGTACTCTTCTGAGTACTGTGATGAAATCTCTCACTATCTCCATTCTGATAGGAATATAAATTATCTTTGTCTGCTGCATCCACGCTGCTGACCCTACCCACCCATTGGTCACTCAGTGGCAATGTCAGTTAACTACTGGAAAAAACATGGTGCAGTTGTCCCTCAGCATCCTTGGCAGATTGGGTCAAGGACTCTTAAGGATATGCTCAAGGACCTTATATAAAATGTCATGGTATTTGCATATAACCTAAACAGTATATTCTCCCATATACTTTAAATCATCTCTAGTTTACTAACCAAAGCCATGTGAATTCCATGCAAATAGTTGTTACACTGTATTTTTCTAATTGTATTTTTATTTAAAAAATATTTTTTTTTATCAGTGGTTGATTGAATCTACCAGTGTGGAACCCACCACTACAGAAGAAAAACCACATATGTATGTATGTATATATATATATATATATATATATATATATATATATATATATATATATACAGGGTTCATTACCATCCTAGGTTTCAGGCATTCACTGAGGATCTCAGAAGGTATCCCTACAAATAAAAGGGACTGCTGTACTTGTATTTTCCTGTTCTTTTACTTCAAACTTCATAACCTTAGTCAAGAAATAATCTTTAGTCTTAGACTTTCCTAAATGCAAAGTGCAAGTAGTCCACGAAGTTTTCTTTTTTATTTCTAAAACTGTTTAATTACAGTAGAATTCTTTTTCTTGAGCAAGAGAAGCTTAAGGAACAATGATGAACAAGTTGTCAGAAAAGAGTGACCTATGTCCTTTGAGACTGTCTTCTATCCAACAAGCAAGCAATTTTACTGTTCAGAAGCCCCCAGTCTTACAAAGCAGCACAGGTATGTATCTACCTTTTATTTTTCTAATCAAGCACTTATATACTTATTCTATATTTTTCTTTTAAGTATTATTGTGGGCTCACATTTCTTTTAAATTTGATCAGTTCCATATATTTTCCAATTCTTTTCCATTTTATTTTCATATATAGGCACATATTATTTGCCCAGTATTAATTTTATATGTAGATTATTAACAAACTATAGTGTGGACTAAGTTTTACTGTTTGTGCTACAATCTTTAGAAAAGCTGTAATGTCCATTTTCAAGTATACAATCTTCACATATTATAAGTAAATTAAAATAAAGTATATACTTTTGGTAGTGATCATTTTAATCACTCTCTTGTCTCAACTCCACTTTCAACTTAGAAATTACATTGTCTACATGTCATATTTGAAGGATTGGTAGAATCTCCATTAACAAATCGTAAGAAAAATGTTCACTGCTGTGTAAGACAATCTTGATGACTGTTAATATCTTTTGGTGGGATGGATTTTTTCCATATTTTTTTCTTTCCTGTCCTCCAAATTTCCCTTTTTCCCTCCCTTCATCCCTTCTCCCTTCCTTATTTTTTGAGACAGGTGTCCCTTAGTGGCCCAGAATGCAGTGCAATGATGGTATGATAGCTCACAGCAGCCTTGCAGCCTCAACCTTAATGTAAATTAAGAATGTTATGGTCCCCACGGCCGGGCGCGGTGGCTCAAGCCTGTAATCCCAGCACTTTGGGAGGCCGAGGCGGGTGGATCACAAGGTCGAGAGATCGAGACCATCCTGGTCAACATGGTGAAACCTCGTCTCTACTAAAAATACAAAAAATTAGCTGGGCATGGTGGTGCGTGCCTGTAATCCCAGCTACTCAGGAGGCTGAGGCAGGAGAATTGCCTGAACCCAGGAGGCAGAGGTTGCGGTGAGCCGAGATCGCGCCATTGCACTCCAGCCTGGGTAACAAGAGTGAAACTCCGTCTCAAAAAAAAAAAAAAAAAAAAAAAAAAAAAAAGAATGTTATGGTCCTTCTTGAATCGCTTGAACCCAGGAGGTGGAGGTTGCAGTAAGTCGAGATTCTGGCATTGCACTCCAGCCTGGGCAGCAAGAGTGAAACTCTGTCTTAAAAAAAAAAAAAAAAAAAAAAAATTGAGAACACCTTTGGTGTTTGCAGTCTCTTAAGATCTTACCTAACAAAATAAAAGTACACAAAAATTGAGTAACTGTATTTTCCCCTTATTTGTACTGATCAATGAAAACCCCAAATCTATGAGCCGTATGTTTTTGCACATACTTATATGTTCTTGCTCCAGTGGTTTGGCAATTTTGGTTACCCTGAGAATTCTTTGGGACCTTGATAAATACACAGATTCTTGCTAGGGCATCTTGCTCCCAAGAGATTCCGGCATCAGTGCCTAATCCTTAAATTACTTTGCAATAATCCAGTTACTATGTAGGTTGACACCCTACAACAAGGAATGATTCATTCAATGAGATGTACATACTTGTCCCCAGAAACTTTGGAACTAAGTATTCAGTTTCTTCAATAAACAGAGCACAGCTTGTTTCATAGGTTTTGGGGGCTGGCCTGAACAAACCGACTAAGTGTGACCTAGTCTACTGAGTTCCGAACAATTTACAAAGTGAGTTCCCGGTTGTTCACAAACTGGGAATTGACTGCATTCTTTGGAGAGCTAAGTGCTTCCACTGGGGATCCCCCTGACAGGTGCTCAACCCCATTCTGTTGAATGTTTTATTAAACATAGGGGTGGGTTAAACCTTTAGGTTTTACATGAGGTACTTAGAGCTTTTCGACTTGCCCCAGATCTTTGCCCCAGAACGGATCATTCTGTTAATAGTTTGTGATTGCCATGTGAAGAGCAAAGTAACCACTGGTGGTTGCGTTCCGGAGCGAGAGAGGAAGACTGGTTTTTGCAGTGCCCAGGCCTGCACGGAAGCGCCCTGGCAGAACCTAGCTAAGGATACACTTTTTCCCGTGGGGCCGGAGGGCTGAGCGCTCCGGGGGGAATTGGGTGTCAGCAGAGCCAGGAGATAGCAGGCCCAGGGGGGCAGCTCCACCACAGGAGACAGGACACGCCTCAGTCTGGGCAAATTCCCGGCCTCCTTTGGCTCTAAGCCAGCAGCCGCCGCCCGCCACCTACTCTCCTCCTCCGCCGTCACCCCGGCCGCCCTGCCGGGCCCCGAACTCGCCCGCGCCTGGGCGCGCGGTCCCTCGGCCCGCGGGGCTGGAGGCGCGGTTGGGACAGGACCGATGTGGCGCATGCGTGGTGGCGCCACTAGGCGCGGGAGTTGCAGCGGCGGGGACGGGGCTGGGGACAGCCGAGGGCCAGGCCGCCCGGGCAGGGCTCCCGGGGGTGGGAGCGGCAGCGGCGGCGTGGGCTGGCGAGGCCGCGCGGACGGCGCCCGACAGCAGCTGGAGGAGCGGTTTGCCGACCTGGCGGCGAGCCATTTGGAGGCCATCCGTGCGCGGGACGAGTGGGACCGGCAGAACGCGCGGCTGCGCGAGGAGAACACCCGGCTGCGGCTCGAGAACCGGCGGCTGAAACGCGAGAACCGCAGCCTCTTCCGTCAGGCGTTGCGGCTCCCGGGTGAAGGCGGCGACGGGACGCCCGCGGAGGCGCTCCCGGTCCCTGAAGAGGCCGGTACCAAGCGGAGGGCTAGAGACGGCGGCCGTGAGGACGAGCCGGGCAGCCCCAGGGCCCTGAGGGCCCGACTTGAGAAGCTGGAGGCCATGTACCGCCGGGCCCTGCTGCAGCTGCACCTCGAGCAGCGGGGGCCGCGTCCGCATGAGGACGAGGAGGAGCAGCCTCTGCGGGAAGCCGACTCCGGCCTCCGCTCCCTGGACTCGGAGCGCTCCGGGCCCTGCCTGTAGCCGAGGCCGCAGCCGGAGCGGGGCGGGGCCTCCCGCAGGCCCCTCCTCCTTAGTGCCCAGCTCCCCCCGTCCCGCGCACGCCCGGGCCCGCGCCCTGCCCGCGGACACCGGCGGCGGTGCCCTCCCACCCGGCCAGCGGACGCTTCCGGGTGGGTGTGGCGCTTAGCCATTGCTGGGCGGAGGCCGAGTGGGTGCAAGGACCCTGGGGACTTCCCGTTTGTGCTCGTCCCTTGCCTCCTGTCCCGGCGAGTTTCCCTGGAGAGAGGCCTAGCCAACAACAGAGGGACGGGTTTTAAAACTGCAAGAACTGGGTGCCAAGAAACACTTCCTACTCCCTGAACTTTTCTAGGTGTTAGGGGAGCCTGTTTTTTTTTTTTTTTTTTTTTTTTTTTTCTCCTCTGTTTTGGTTCTGAAAGATGAGTAATGAGCTTTTAGTTGGTTGAGTCTGTCCATTCTTCAGTCCCTTAAATCCAGTTATTCTCTCTTATGTGGCCAACATTTAAGTTTGTTTTTATAAGTTGGTGTTACTTGGATGTCTTATAAAATACCCCATTTTTATAAAGATGATATTTATGACTTAAGAATTCATGCCTGCCCTGGCTGCAGTCCCCTTACATCTAATATATACTGATTTATTTGCCCCCAGAGCCTTTTTAAAATATCTGCCTATATCGTGATCTTTTGAAAAGGTAAATAAATCTGTTGCATTAAAAATCATCTGAAAGGTTCCAACGAGTATTATTTGAAGGGTTAAAATTTTACATTTTTTAAAACAGATACCTGTATGAATATAATAATTTAAATCTGGCTTTGGTTATCCTTTGTAAACATCATGTTCTTTTCACTTTATTTAACAGTGATCTTTTAAAATAATCTAAGGATTACATACTATAAACATTATTTTAATCTTAATTAGTTTAATTAGTAAGTAGATAATTTACTTTATTTTGACTAAGGACTTTTAAGAAATTATAAATTGTATATCAAAAACTCCCCAAAGTGATTTAAATTAAGTCTCAATTGTTACTTCAATGGCACAAAAAAGTGAGTTTTAGCTATAAATGTCCTAAAATTACTTTTATTGCACTTCATTAATGAATAACACTTTTGCCAACTAAATAAGAAGAATACCATTGTGCCTGATAAAAAAAAAATCATGGGTCTTAGAGTGTTTCAATGACGGAGAACGTTTCAGGGGAAAAAATCATGAATAGAATTGTCAGGGGATTAAAATATATTATGGCATAGTCCAAAATTTTTAAATATATATTACAAAATAAGTTTTGTGATTTTTCTAGTTCTGGGTTTTAAAGTCACTGCATTTTGCTTAAAGATAATTGATATTCAGATGTGAATATCAGAATCTTCCCCTATGGCCAAAAAATATAAGAAGGAACGTGATGAGAAGAGTTAGGTAGTATATGAAAATAAATTCTATTCTCCTTCACTTCATTTTCTAAGAGTGAAAGAAATACAGTGATGTACTGCCTAATCGACATTTTAGTCAAGATGGACTGCTTATATGGTGATGGTTCCATATGATTACAACACCATATTTTTACTGTGCCTTTTCTACGTGTAGATATATTTAAATACACAACTACCATTGCATTATAATTGCCTGCAGCATTCAGTACAATAACATGTTTCCAAATTTGCAGGAGCAGGAATAGGCTAGCAGGAATAGGCTCTACCATATAGCCTAGGTATGTAATACCATATACCTTCTAAGTTTGTATAGGTACACTGTAATGTTCACATAACAAATACATTGCCTAGTGATGCACTTCTCAGAACATGTCCCACTGTTAAGAGACCTATGTTTAGGAGGCAGCACGAATTGGAAATGGAAACAAGTTTGTCCATCTTACTGCTATTAAATTGTAACTTTAGGCTTAAGTTGATTAAGCTCTCCAAACCTTAGTATTCTCATTAGTAAAATGAACATAAGATCTACCTCAAAATGTTATAAAAATGTTATTGAGATAATATAAGCAAAATGCCTGCTTCAAAGTAAGTGCAATATCTGTGAGAATTATAATCCAAAGCATGAAAATAGCAGATGCCTATTTTGCTTACACTTTCCCTTGCATTTTATATCTTGCTTCTATATGACTTTACAAGTATTAGCAAAGATACATAAATTTGGAATAAATTGACATTTTTTACTTTTCAGAAGCAAGTAGAAGACAGAAAACTATGTAATAGGAATAATGAAATACAGGTTTAAAAAATACCACTTGTGGCACATTTGGGGATATTTAACAACAAACCAAATTATTTTGTTTACAGTTATTAAACACTTTTTGTCTTAAAATTATGTACATAGGAATGAATGCTAAAAATTGTAAATGTACTGGTGAAAACATTTTTATCATGGGACGTTAAGTGTGCATGCACCCACACATATACAAATAATGGTAACTTTTGAACATAATTCCTAAAAGGCATTGCAAATTCTGAAAGCAAAATGCTCCATAAGATGGGTTAAAGGTAATGTCTATTTCAAGCTCCATGAATTTTCCGCTGATAACTGATAAAGCGTCATGTGAAAGAGGTTTTGTAGTATCACAATATATATCAATTAAGAAATGGTTAAAGTTGATTTTAGAAAAGCCTCCCAGAGAGGAGGCTTTAAAATCTAAAGTTGATTTTGTAAGAGGATATCATAAAATGATATCAGGGTATTCAATAAATTCAATTAACAGTATATACTGAAAAATCACAAGCAGCATGCTCTTGATCCCAGTGCCAAAAGACCATCTTCTCTTTTGTTAGATTTTTAGCAAAGGGATAGATTTATATTGCAAATTTGTCACAAAATGTTTGGAAAATCTCCATGAATGGCAAAACTTATTTATATTTCTATTTAGTGATAAATTGATAATTTAAAAATCCTAATTTTTTCTACTAAAACGTTTTGAGTTTCTTACGTATCAGCAGATATGCAGGTTGTATATAATGTATTTATGCAATGGAAATATTAAGAATCAAGGAAAACAGACTATACTCACATCTGACTTTCTAAGAATTATCCTCAAATTTCAATTTTTAATTAATAAACTAAGATGATTATGATACCTCAGTTATCAAAATTAACCTACATTGTGTTTAATCCACAGCAGATAGGGCTTTGTATAAAATTCATACTGAGAATCTATTTAATTGCCAGTATAGTCTTTGCATATTTCTTAAAAATTTATTAGTAAGGAAGTATGTTTTTAAACCAACATTCTCAAACATCTGTTGTGCTGGAGAAACAGTCTGAGAGAGAAGAATAGTGAAATTGTTGCTCCTTAATTATTGCCTGAATGATAACGATTCTACTCTAAAAATTGAGTTATTTGAGGGAGGAACTCTAACAACAATCTATCTCATATTCACCAGGGGCTTTATAATGTTTTCTATTTTTTTCTATTTGTACTGGATTCCTGAAATGTCAGGTAGAAAATAAAAGTGATCATATATATTAAAAAGCTTTAAAAAGTCATTTAATTACGGTATTTAGTAAGCTAATCTTATTCTTGATAACTGGGTAAAGCCTAACATTTTCCTTAAATCATTTAATTATCTTATCCAATACATTAATCCCTATTAGAATTGATAAACAATTTCCTTGGCCTTTCATTTTTCCATATTTTCCTACTTTAATTTCTTACTTTAATTTTATTACTTTAATTGGTATCATTTTAAAGCATATAACCTCCATTGTATTTTAAACTTAATGGGTCTGCCATTAGTTATGGTGAAGATTCTGTGGCTATAACAAACCCAACAATTCAGTACCTATAAAAAACAAATATTTTTTCTTTAACAAAATACTCTAATTAGAGTGCTTCAGGATGTTAGGAAGCTGTGCCCATGTAATCATTTGGGGTCTCAGACTCCTTTTAAGGTGTGCCTCTGCCTTGCCATTGCTTCATCTAGGTGGTAGAAACAGATTACCGTACTTAGGTTTCAGTTTATGAGAATGGTAACTAGAACTAGAAGGCAGCATACCCAGATTTGAAAATGACATAAATCTCTCTGCTCACATTCCGTCTGTACAGCATCATTAAATCACCATTTAACTTCGAAGGAGGCTAAAACATGTATTTAAGTTGCATAATCTTTGGCCTAGCTGTAATTTCATTACAATGGAAGAATGGGAGAACAGATTTTTTATGAATAACCACTTTAAATTGAGGCTGTCATCTATTTAAAAGTTTAAAATATTTTATGTCTTAGTATAGTATTTTTGAAACTGCACAATATAGTCAAAAATAGAAATATAATGTGATTTCCTTGCAGACTGAAAAAATTCTGACTTTTTAATTCACTATTCTTATGAGTACAAAATTAGATGCTGCTTTAACTTTATATTTAAAATAAGCAAGGAAATATAGCTGGTAAATTTTGTATAGGACATCCCTATAAGTATGAACTGTAAGAATTATATATATTATGAAAATATGCATTCAGAGCGTGTAAATAGTAATCATTATTTCTATTCTATGTGTAAATCTAAATACAGAACTTGAGGGAAAATGTATTTTGTTCATCTTATCTATTATGTACCACAATTCTACAACTTTTAGAGCTGAAAGAGACCTTACAGGGTTTTAGCCCAGCATCCTTTAAACATTTTTCTTGTCAGCAACTTAACTTTGAAGAGACTCACATTTTATATAACATGCTAATTGAGTATTCTTCATTCATTTATCAAGAATAGTTAATCAAAATTGAATGTGAATGCTCAATAATTAAAAGTCTAATAGAAACATTTAACTCTAAAACTTAAACATCTGGCTTATGAGTTGATTGAAAATCAATTTGTTGGTCAACCCTAAACAAAATTTAAATTTTACTAAAGACTGATCTATAAAGAAGGCTTTGATTTCTTCACTTGCCCTCTTGCTTCAGTTTTTCCAAGAGTATAATTAAAACACTTACATATACTTGATGATAAAACAATATAGTTTATACCTATTCATTTGTGCTATTCTCAGTATCAGTCTGTTAATTACAATTTCTCTAAACATAACTAATTTCTATGTGTTAACTTTCACTGTGCTACATTTCAGGATTCAACTAATTCCAAAATTGAATTTGGTCTTCAAAAGTTCTGGAGGTTTTATTGGCTGATAGCAGAATACTATTATAATCCTATTATATTTAAACTTTTAAAATACTTTAAATAACTTGCAATTATCACATATTAATGTTAATGATACTAAGTTCTATTAATATGTCCTTTGCTAATTCTTCACATTTCTAAGTATGTTGTTTAAAATAAAAGGCTTATGCTTAGAAATAGAATGAGCATAAAAACAAATTGTTGAAGAAGGCTGGTTCAAAACAGAAAGGAGGTAATATAGGGTAACAAAATAGGATATCTTAATCAGATAGGGCTGCTATAACAAAATATTATAACATGGTGGTTTATAAGCAAGATAAATTTATTTCTTACTGTTTCAGGCGCCTGAAGTATGAGATGAGCATGCCAGTATGCTGGGGTTCCGGTGACGGCCCTCTTCCTGGTTGCAGACTGCAGACTATTCTTATCTTCAAATGTCTGAAAGAGAGAGCTCTGGTATCTTAATTCCACGTATGGTCACTAATCTCATTCTTAGGGCTCTACTCTCATGACCCAGTTATCTCCTAAGGGTTACATCTCCAAATACCATCACATGGGAATAGGGTTTCAACATACAAACTTTGGTGGCGCCATAAACACTTAGTCCGCTGTGTAAGGTAATGCTGAGAAAATGTACCGGGGTTTTCTTTACTCCAAAATATGTTCATTGAAATGCTATCTTAATTTTCCCATTAAGATATCAACATATATGCAATACAATTACACTATCTTACATGGCTAAACTAAGAAAATATTAAAATCTATCTCAGCAACTATCTATGAAAATCTATATCCCCATATCTTTAAACCTGCACCGTAAACTAATGTTTTTGGATAGTGGCCTGAACTAACATATTTGCAGTTGTCCAAGCCAGACAGCTGGGACCATCGATATCACTATCTTGTTTATTCTTTTAAAAATTCTATGTGTTTGTGTATGTGTGCATGCCTGGATATGAGTGATCGCTTGTGCAAACACACAAGAATTTATACATAGTGTAGATTCCCCCCACACCCACGAGCAGGAAATATTACTTGGACATTATTCCAAATCAGGACCTTCCTAGGTACTTCATTCCTCTTATTCGTTTGGACTAGCTTTTGCTCTTAGTTGTAATGCTACCTTAAATATATATGTATGTTTCTTTTTTCATATTTGTA